CCAGGGATGCCTCAGCCTCGGGGTCCTGCCAGGGCCCCCTCGTCCCTCCCCACAGGGGTCCCAAAGTTCTTACCGACACCGATGTCCCACAGGACGCCTGCCATGGTCCCGGGCTGTCCGCAGGAGAGGCGGGAAGTCGGAGTGGAGAGAGGGCTGTCCCTTCTCCTCCGCCACCACCGGGCAGCTGTGCAGGCCGTCCCCCGGCCCTGCCTTTATGAAGTGGGGGTGGGGGTGACAGCCGCTGGCCCAGGGCCCTCCCCGGAACTGGCGGGGCAGCTGGAAACTAACAGGAAAGTGCAGCAAAAACATACACCCGGGGCACACACACACATACACACACACGCACTGTGCACACACACACGCTCACAAACGCAGCCCGCTCAGCGGCCGAGGAGAGCTACCTGCTTGCAAATCCTAGGCTGCCCTTCCACCATGGAACGTCTGGCTACGTCTCTGGCCCCCTCTTAGGCACGGCGCTGACCCGGGGGAGGGAAATGAGGGCAGGGAGATGAGGGAGGGAGGCCCAGGGCCTGCTTGAGGTGGGCACTGATCTGAGCAGGGAGGGAGGGACACGTCAGAAATATTATAGCTCCCTGAGCTGCAGACCTGAGTTACCCCACACGAGTCCAGCAGGGTGGTACCTGCCCAGCCCACTCTCCAGCAGGGAAACTGAGGCAGAGAGAGGCCAGCAATCCCGACAGGACCTGGGGAAGGGCCAACGGGCCTTTCAGGGATGCCAAGCAGGTGCCGGGAAGAGAACCCCTAGGGTATGGGGCTACCACCATCCTGGTCTCTCTGGGCTGGAATTTTCTGTATCTTTTTCTTGCACTCTTTCAATAGTTCGTGGACACTGTTAATAAGAAAGCCATGTGGGACCAGCAGTTAGCGTAATGGATATGTCGCTGGACTCCCATGTAGTCGACCGCGGTTCGAGTCCCGGACCCGGTGGCTTAAACTCACGCCGGGCGCGTGTGCGTGCGTGCCCAAGGTCCCACGAGGAGAATGGAGGAGAAGGGATTGCGGCGTGGCCATCTCCCATGGGGGGTGATTTCTCGCTTTCTGTCTCTCTGTCTCTCTCTGTCTGTCTGGTGAGCGCACACACCCTATAGTGAAAACCTCTCCAAAAAAAAAAGAAAAGAAAAAAGAAAGATAGCCATGTGACAGGAGGTCGTGTTCTTTTGGAATACATCACAAGACTGGCTTGTCTCTCGAGCCATCTAATCGTTCTCAGGCTTTTTTAATTTTTTTAATTTTTTTTATAATTTCCTATGGGGCACATGCTCTTGCCGGAGAGAGACAGAGCGAGAGACAGAGAAAGGAGAAAGTGAGACATCACCCTCCCAGGGAGGATGGCCATGTTGCAATCCCGTCTCTAGTCTCCTCTCAGGATCTGGGGCACGCATACACGCCTGGTGTGTTTTTCAAGCTGCCCGCCAGGTCTGGGACTCGAACCACACAGTCAGTCATGGGGGATCCCGCTACCCTAACCACCAGGCCACCTGGTTGGTCCCATCATCTTATCATTTTTTTTTTTTTTTTTGGAGAGGTTTTCGCTATAGGGCACGTGCGCTCGCCAGACAGACAGAGAGACAGAAAGCGAGACATCACCCCCCAGGGGGGATGGTCACGCCGCAATCCCTTCTCCTCCATTCTCCTCTCGGGATCTTGGGCACGCACGCACACGCGCCCAGCGTGAGATTTAAGCCACCGGGTCCGAGACGCGAACCGCGGTCGACTACGTGGGAGTCCAGCAACATAGCCATGACGCTAACTGCTGGTTCCGCGTCTTCTCATTTTTAAAGACACTGTTGTTTGTAATGCATTTTGTCTGCACTAAATACGACTGGACCTGCTTTTCCTGTTTTAACTCATCTATTTCCCGAAACGCTGAATCCCATTTTACAGAGGGGGGAACTGAGGCACTGGCGACTCGCACAGCTAACGGAGGTCCCGGGGGTGCCGGGGGGACGCTGGGGAGGGTAGTGTGCACCTAGGAATCTGGGAGGAGGAGGACCAGGACCTCAGAAGGCTGAAAGCCCAGGGTCCCATGTCCCCTCTACACAGACTGGCACGTCAGCCAGGCAGCTGGTGTCTCAAAACTCCGGGAGACGTGGGGGGCGCCGCCCGCATTCCAGGGCGTCATCCGGGAACCTCTGTCTTACCTTCTCCCCTGGGATGTGTTCTGGTCTGGCCTCCCTGGGACTCAGTTTTCCTGTCTGTTGAATGGGGATTAGAATGCCTAACCAACTGGGATCATAGCAGGACAACAACAACAAAAAAAACAGGCGTGTTGGGGCCAGCAGGTGGCGTGGTGGCTAAGGCGCTGGACATTCCCACATGGCTGACCACAGTTCAAGTCCTGGACCCGGTGGCTTGCTTTCTCACTTTCCTTCTCTCTGTCTGTCTGTCTTTCTCTGGTCAAATTAAAATAAATGAATGAATAAATAAAATGTAAAAAAAAAAAATAAAGAAAAACAGGCGTGGGCCAGCCACTGACATGGAAGTTAAGGTGGCTCAGTCCCATACGGCCAACTGAGAGGTTCGAGTCCCAGACCGGGTGGCTTAGAAATCACACTGGGCATGTGTGAATGCATGAAAAAGAAAGAAAAAGGACTTGAAGTTTGGGGATTTATTTAACTTTATTTATCCTAATTTTTAAATTTGTTACAGGGCATGGGTGCTCACCAGAGAGAGACAGAGAGACAGAGAGAGGGAGAATGAAAAAGCAAGCTGCCAGGTCCAGGTCTTGAACTGCAGTCAGCCAGGTAGAAGTCCAACCCCACGCCACCTGCTGGCCCTGGAGGTTTTTTTTTTTTTTTTTTGTAATAAATTTGTACTTTTTTAAACTAATTATTTTATTTTCTTTATTTATTCATTCATTTAATTTGACCAGAGAGAGAAGAGAAAGTGAGAAAGCCACCAGGGCCGGGTCTTGAACCGTGGTCAGCCACGTGGGTATGTCTAGTGCCCCAACCACCATTCCACCTGCTGGCCCATGTACCTTTTCTTTTTTTTTTTTAAGGAATTATTTTATTGAGGGACCAGCAGTTGGTGTAATGGCGTGAGTTTTAAGATGCTGGGTCCGGGACTCGAACCGCCATTTACTATGTGGGAGCCCAGTGACGTAACCATTATGCCATCTGCTCATCCCAGCCAGGTGTGTTTTTCAAGCCCCGAGGGCAGGGATTTGAACCGTGGTCAGCCATGTGGATTCTGCTCCCTTAACCACTAAGCCACAAGGCCAACCCGAGATTATTTTCTTAGATTCTCATCGGGGTCTTACTGCACCAGGATCCCCGCCCCAGGCTGTCAGCCAGCCAGGCTCATGGACACGCGTGTGCCTGACATGCACAGGCAGACCCAGGAACCAGTCAACCCTGTGGCACTGTGGCAGCCAAGGTGTGGCGATGTTTGCTGTCCCCGTGAGGAAGGCAGGAGGAGAGCGGGTCCCTATTCCTCCTCCACAGCCCATAATCTGGGCTGTCAGCAAGTCCCAGGGCTGTGCCTTCAAATAAACCCAGAGTCCTCCTACTTCTCCTCTCACAGGGCCCCTCCCTGGTCTAGCCAACCTGGTTCCCCCATGCCTGGTCTACACGACCTGTTCCCCAGTGTACGCCTGAGTCAGGCACAAAACTCTTCCGCTCAAGAACCCTCCATGGCTCCCACCTTACTCAGAGCAAAGATCCAAGTCTTTCCCGTAGTCCCCTGGGTCCTGCACATTCTGCCCTGTCACCCTCTCGTCCCGTTCTTCCTCTCAATCACTCCACTCCAGTTTTCCTTGAAGACACGCGGCACAGTCCGACCTCAGGGTCTTTGCATAGACCCTCGACTCTGCTTCAATCTCTCTTGGCAAGAAACCTCAGGGTTCCCTCCATCTTCTCCTTCAGTTATTTTTTTTTTTTTTAAGATTTTGAGATCTGGGTGGTTTTTTTTTAAGAATTATTTTATTTGGGAACCAGCAGTTAGCATAATGACTATGTCGCTGGACTCCCACGTAGTCGACCGTGGTTCGTGTCCCGGACCCGGTGGCTTAAATCTCACGCCGGGCGCGTGTGCGTGCGTGCCCAAGATCCCGAGAGGAGAATGGAGGAGAAGGGATTGCGGCGTGGCCATCCCCCCTGGGGGGTGATTTCTCGCTTTCTGTCTCTATGTCTCTCTCTGTCTGTCTGGCGAGCGCACGCGCCCTACAGTGAAAATCTCTCCAAAAAAAAAAAAGAATTATTTTATTATTTTATTTATCTATTTATTATTTTCACATGAGTTTGCCAGAGAACAACAGAGAGGGAGGGTGAGAAAGCAAGCCGCCAGGTCGGGACTCGAACACTGACAGCCATGTAGGAGTCCAGCACTCTTAACTACCGTGCCACCCCAAGAATTATGTGTTTTATTTTTTTATTTTATTTAATTTTTAAGAATTACTTTATTTAACTGTATTTATTTATTTTAATTTGACCAGAGAGGGACAGAGAGGAGAGAAGGCAAGCTGCCAGGTCTGGGACTTGAACCATGGTCAGCCATGTGGGAGTCCAGTGCCCTTAACTATCATGCTACCTGCTGGTCCCTATTTTATTTTTTTTTAACTTGATGAAAGAGAGAGAAAGTGAGAAAGTAAGCCACCGGGTCTGCGACTCAAACCAGAGTTGGCCATGTGGGAGTCCAGAGCCCTAACCACCACACCACCTGCCAGCCCCTTTCTGCAGGTTTTTTTTTTCTCAAACATCCCTTGACATGGGCCTATGTCCAAAATGTAAACCCTCCCATTCTCAGCACCTCCCAACCCTGAGTGGGTTGATTTCTATTTTGTCTTTGTTTAGGTGTTTGTCATAGAGGATCGTACGCTTGCCAGAGAGAGACAGAGAAATCACCCCCAGGAGGGACGGCCACGCCACCATCCCTTCTCCATTCGCCCCTTGGGATCTTGGGCATGCGTGCACACGCGCCCAGCATGACCTCAAGCCGATGGGTCCAGAACTCCAACTGTGGTCGGCAACATGGGAATCCAGCCCCTTCACCACCACGCCCCCTGCTGGGCTCTTTCAATTTTTCCTTTTCTTCCAGTTTTTGTTTTGGAGAGATTTTTGCTATAGGGCATGTGTGCTTGCCAGACAGACAGAGAGAGACAGAGAGACAGAAAGCGAGAAATCATCCCCCAGGGGGAATGGCCATGCCGCAATCCCTTCTCCTCCATTCTCCTCTCGGGATCTTGGGCACGCACGCACACACGC